TCATGATTCCAATGATATCTCCTGGTAAACAATAATTCAAATCTGGACCGTAATTACTTTTAATCTAACAACAAATAAATATATATATCTATATATTTGAAATCCTCATAACATTTTATAGAAGATATTTACTTTAAGGCCATCAAAATATACAGAATCACCAGAAATTATCCATGTGCTATCATATCCCTTTAAAGATAACGCAGTTGCTGGTGCAGAATTATTGGTACATGTAATCTTGGACACGCCAATCATTAATGATGATTCCCACTTTTTATTTAATGTTTGGATTTCAACCTGTAAACCAATATCAATCATAACATATACTAATATAATCAATAATTAATAGTTTGAAATTAAAAAATGTATATACCTGGAATAAAGAGTTTGGTAGTAAAATATCTGATGTCATTGTTAACCCGTGATGATAACTTTCTGTTCTAGTTGCTGTACGGCCATCTCGTGATAAGCGTACATTGCGACCTCGCCAGTCATTAAATCTCATTAATTTATATGTAGACTACAAACAATTACAATATTTATTTTATTTAATACGTTCAATTAAATTCAATTTTACCTCATCTATAAAATAACTGATTTCAGATGAACAGCATTCACTCATATCTTCGTCCAGTACAGTCATTCTTTTCAGAACATTAATTGTTGTGTCTCTAAAATAAAGTAATCAATTAATTTAAAGTAGATACAACTCTAATTTACATTTACATTTTTGTGAATAATTTGATACTAACACTTTAACTGATTCAGATATATCTGATGTATTTTCACTACACTGCGAAGAAACCATTTGCACATTTGTTTTAGAATCTTGATCTGTATGTATTACTTTAGCCGAAATATGACAACCGTACAAATCAATCACACCATAAATAACCTATTATCAAGTTCTTATAATTAAATATAATGTTGAAATATATTTTATATATTACAGTAAACTCTTGTTATGCCGAATCTCATGGAAAACAGAAAGTTTAAGAAAGCTAAAAATTCAAGTTTCCGTCAAATGTCAATGCCGATTGCATGAACAATCTAAACTTTTAACTAATCAAAAGTGAACTAATGGTCCCTTAAACATGATTTGATGGCCATTACATTAAATTAATAATTTTTTCATGCAATCCAACATTATTGAAATAGTTTCAAAGGGATAACAATTTAGTTTCAGTTTGAGATATCAAATTTCAACATAATAAGAATCTATTGTACTTGACTTTATACATAAAATACAAAGCCCCTATGCATCAGAAATGGTAAAAATGTATTTGAGAGGTAGCTGCCTCAGATACTTTTAAGTTTAAAGGGGCGGTGGTTGGGTGTCCAGTGGTGATGTGATATTACTTATTTGAAGGCGAGTTTACGTAGTGATAATAAGGAGGGTGGCTGTTAAAAAATGTCTACCAATATTCAAATACATCATGCCATTTCTGTAGGGAATAAAGAGCAGAATTAAATACAATATAAGAACATTAAAAGTTACCTCAGGTACATTGTATACAGCAGTTCCTTGATCATAACCATTCACAAACAAATGTAATGTTCGATCCGCTGTATACTTAATACCAACTCTATCACCCTCTCTCAGCCTATCTAAGCTTGGACAATAGTTGTTCATGATCAATGATTGATTGTACCATACTTGGTTACCTATAAAACTTCATGATTTTAATTTTATAATTAAAACTATAAAATAAAATAACATACCAGAAAAATACCATACATCTGATTTTATATTTAAATCTTTGATATTAGATGGCAATGGAGTTTCTGGCAGACAACTAATAACACCGATTCGCATACTTCCTGCATAATTTGTATTACATTTTACTATTAATATTTGAAATAATTCGTTGGGCTGCATCTTATTGTCACATATTAAGAGGCCCCCTTTGAAAGATTTTACTCGAGTGGCTGTTCTATTATCTTCAATTAGTACTATGTTTTCTCCGGACAGATATTCAATTAAATTAATATCTCTAAAATATATAAGAAAATCATATCAACATTATTTATACATAATACAACTAAATCAAGTTAAAATACTTTTGTCCTTTAACTCCTGTTTCAGTCTGAATAGATATTGCATCATCCTGTGAGCAGCAACTTGTGTCTGAATCACTATCATCACATCTAATTTCTGGTGGACTTTGGATAGTAACTTGGGTGCATCGACCATATATATCTATCACTGGATATAAATTTGGAGGTACACTGGTACAAGCTACCCCTTGATCATGCCCATCCAAAAAATAATGCAAATAACCATTGGTATGTCTCATTACGCCAACAACAGAACCAACTTTAACTTTGTCCAAATCCAGTGAATAATTGTATTTAATTGCTAACCCATCTTTCATCACCGTACATCCAGATAAAACCCAAGTATCGTGATCTAAATCTGTCATAGTATTTGGCAGATCAGCAGATAGGATATTTGGGGGAATTGTAGTAACACCTAAAAAACATTTCATATTAAAAATTATTTTATATTATCTATTAGTTCCATGATATACTTACCAACTTCTATTGAGCCTGACCATCGATCATTAAGTTTATCCACACTAACAGAAAATAATTCACCATCTTGCAACATTTGATTGACTAGAACAATTGACTGACTAAATTCATATTCACAATACAACCTGTCAGATGTACGACCACGTGACCCAGGAACTATACGTGCATTTTTTCCATGATTAGGAAAGAATCTAACATTATTTCTTTGATATGAAATAAAAATAATTAATATGGATTATTGATATAATTTGTAAAATATTACAAATATACACATACTTGTATGGAGAAATTTGATCAACATTATCACGACATAGAGTAATTTGTGCTGCCTGTCCATATAGATCAACAACACCGTACACCCCTGATGGAATATTTTTAGCTGCTTCTCCTTGGTCTACGCCATTTACATAGAAGTATAAAGAGCCATTTGATTTGACCATAGCACCAACACGGTCTCCTACCCTTAACGTATCTAAATTTACTCCGTATTGATTGACAACTGTAATGCCGTTATGCATAATTCCTACACCCGTCATCATCCAAGTACCAGAATGTACATTTGTCATGGTTAAAGGATAGTCAATATCTCCTGGACGATGTGTTGTCACACCAATTTCTATTGAACCTGCCCATTTAGTGACTAGACGGTCCAAACGAACTTCAAATAATTCATTTGAACGCAGTGGACGCTTGGTTAACACAACACCATTATTAAAATCATCTAATGCGCTAAAACAAACATATTTAATCAATTGAGAATCTAATAAATACTCATATTCTTCTTACTTTGGCCTGTAAGCAACAGTATTATTATTAATGACTAGAGTATGTGCACCGCACATAGGATGGAATTCAAGTAAATCTTCATTTATTACTGAAACAAAATCAACAGTTTTAATGTCTATTAAAACAAAATATGGTATCTAATCAATGGTGTTTCATTTCCTCAATCTTTATTATAACCCAAAACTATCAATTTTTTTTTTCATTGATCAAAAATTTGAGAAAATGAATTAGCACCTATTATATGTAGAGGTATAAAAAGATCTAATTGTTTGAACATCAGTAACCAAAATAATTATAATTTAAAAATAAGACCAGTAAATTTTGATTGTATCATTGTTTTAAGCATAACAAATACAGCTATATTATATTATTAAAGATAAAAATATGCTTAATATGTTCCAACAATTAAACTTACGTTGATTCTCATTGGATAAAGTTAATGAATTGCTTAGCCTTGTTAGCAAATTTTTTTCTTCATTAACATCACGATCAACAATAGTAACTTTAACCGTTCTGCCATACATATCAACTACACCCCATACTTTAGAGGGTAAATTAGAAACAGCTACACCTTGATCAAGACCATTGATGTAATAATGTAGATCACCATTTCGCTTTCGTATCAGACCAATACGATCGCCAACCTAAAACGGTATAACAAATTTAGAATATATTATTAATGGAATTAATCCATTATCTTAAAAAAAAATTATAAATAGGTACCTTTAAATCATCCAGATTGAAATTTCCGTATTCCCGTCTTATTCCTTTACCGTTGGCCAATATACCACGGCCAGACATCATTGAAGTACCTGTCCTCAAATTAGTCATTGTTGATGGTATCGGAATAGCTCCTGGATCATGAATAGTCACACCCACCTCAACGCTACCGCTCCACTTGTCTACTAGTTTATCAATGCGAATCTACAAAGCAAACAATCAATTTCATAAAAGAGTATATTATATTAGATTTGTGGGTCCACATAATTTTTATCTTTACCTCGAATAGTTCATCGTCGAATATATTTCTATTTGTCATGACAACACCGTTATTAAATTCATCATATGCTCGAAGCCGCTTGGCTGATCTATTGTTTGGTGAAAGTTTCACTAACGTGCCGCACCGCACGTGAAATCTCAAACGGTCGTCTGAATCAGACTGCATGGTTAGAATTTTTCAGATTTAATTTCATGAGCCAAATGTTGAAACGACAATTTTATATACCGCGCAGAGTTACATGAACTGTATAGACGGATCCATCGCATCATTTAGCCGTAATTGAATGAAAACAAAGGACTGTACATTTGTCTGGGGATTGTGGAAAAAAGTATAAATTGATTGGAAATCGGTATAAAGTTTCGACGTAGGTGGTTGAAATTTGTAAGTTGAAAGTAACTACTCCATCCGACGATTCGACCGTCTACACCCTTATCTTAGTCCGTGGAAGTAACCATTAGATAGTAGATAACATAATATAAAAAAGATCGGCGAATCGTTTGTGATCACCATAGATAAGAAATTAATGATAATTACTATCTTAAATCTGCGGGTTGTTTATATCATGATAATAGATATAGATATTGTGCTCATATTCAATCAGTCAACACGTGTTTGGTGTTTCACACTTCATGTATTAACTATTGTCTATTAATTATTTTACTAAACATTTTATTAAGCAATGACGAGTTTTATTCCATGTGTGAAATGGGTAAAACAAGGTGTGTCGTTACATCAAAATACGATAAAATTATCTCAACAGGAATTAAAAGAACTAACAGAAACCAAACCCAAAGAAAAAGAGTTAAGTAAGAGTGACAAAAAAGACTATGGTTTAGAAAATTATGACGAAGAAGAAATGGATATGTCTGGAGCCATGTCCATTGGTGGTTTGGCCGTATATAACAATAATGATTTTAATGATTCCGATACCGACAGTGACAAGCTTGATGAAATACTCAAACCGGATGACAACCTTGTATTAGTAGGCAATGTTAAGAAAACAGAGTGCTCTCTAGAAATTTATGTTTATAATGGCAATGACAAAGATTTTTACATTCATCACGACATAATTTTGAAACATCCACCTCTATGTTTGGAATGGTTTGGATCCATTGGAAATTTCTGTGCTTTGGGATCCATGTCTGCCATGATAGACGTTTGGGATTTAGATTTGATTGGGTGTTTGGAACCCACATTTAGGTAACTATTGTAATTCAAAACTAAGTATAAAATATTTAACACTTGATTTGCATTTTAATTTTAAGTATATCATTTGCGTTTGCAGATTGGGTAGAAAAAAGAAAAAAAATCCTGAAAAAAATTATGGTCATACTGATGCTATCTTAGATATATCGTGGAATGAACATCTACCTCATATACTTGCCAGTGGTTCAGTAGATGAGACTACCTTACTTTGGGATTTAGAAACAAATGAACCTCATACAAGAATGGAAAATTTTGGAGATCACGTTCAAACACTTAAATGGCATCCATTTGAATCACAGACGCTTGCAGTTGGTTCTTCAGATTTTTATGTTTATGATTGTCGCACTTATGATACATATAAAAATTGGAATGTTAAAGGTAAAGTAGAAAGAGTTCATTGGGATCCGTCTAATGGATTCTTGTGTTACATTGGTACTGATAGAGGTCAACTAATTTGCTATGATTGTCGAGCTGATAAACCGCTGTGGAAGTATAAAGGTCATGAGAATGAAGTCACTGGAATTTATGTTTGGGAGAAATTTATTGTTAGCTCTTCAACAGACGAAACCTTAAAAGTATGGGATAGAGAGAATAAACACTTAATTAAAATTAGAGAATTTTCTGGCGCTTTGCATAGTTTAGATGGATGTACTGATAACCCATCTTTAGTGGCTGTTGGTGGAAGTGGTACTTCTAAGTTTCAATTATTCGATATTAATGATTTTAGTTTAAAAACATGTTAATTTTAATAAAATATATTTTTCAAAAAGTTTTTTTAAAGTTATTTGTAATAATGATTGCTCCTTATATTTTCTCCAGACATTTACAAATTGATCATAATCCATAATATTTTGATTGTCTAGCTATTACTGAACTGTAAACATGGAACACGTGTTGGACTGAAAAACTCGTCCCATTATATGTCGGCGCTATCACAGATTATATTATAATTTGTTTTATATAATCTGTGGCACTATATTGATTTCTTTTGTTTATTCTTTATTTAAAAAATAACATAAATTCATTATTACTATACTCTATTCAGGATAAGTTTGAACAGCTCGCTTGACCAAAACACGTTTTTTCTGCTCATTCCCACCACAATCCAGACATCGGTGAGAGCGTTAGCACAGGCGGCCGGCGATGACCGTCAGCCAATCACAGAACGTATAGCCATCGCATGGGAGGTCAGACATTGTTCGGCAGCTTAGCCTTCATGCGCAACGCAGTTCAAACTTATCCTGAATAGAGTATAAGAATGGTATTTTTGTTTGTATGATTCTAATGAAAATATAACTCGGCTACCAATAATTAGACACTTGTTAATTTATAAGTTATATAGTAAATACTATATTATATAATGCATGTTATATTTTTAGAGTTCTGTCTAACCTTTTTAATATGACCAATCGTTTATTATACTACCTATTTTGTTTAGAAAAAAAGGGTAAAAAATGAAATAAACCAAGTAATATTCATTTTATTTCAATAAAACTTTTACTACATTATTGTGAAACTATAAGTAGTAGAAATAATACTATTAACACTGATTTAACCGATGCCTGGTGATAATAAAAACTAGACATTTTTTTTTTTATGATTATTTAGCATGATTAAAGATATATTTAATATAGTATTGATAAGCGTGACAGTTGTATACATTAAAAGTGACTAGAACAAACTATAAAGAGTATTTTATGCATACAATTGAGTAGGAATGAATATTAGATAATATTTATTTTTTTTAAATATATTAAATAAATATAATATTTAAAAAAAAATGATTATAAGTCTAAAAGCAAAGGAGAAGATGCTGTTTGATGGTTTTCATTATCTGTTTCATCAGTATCCAAGCATAATTGTGACAGTTCTGTCAAAGCAGAAACAGAATCATTCTTTTTAAGTAGTGGTGGCAAATCTCTGTACACTCTTGGATTGTCAACTGAATTGTGTATACTTTCCTATAATTTAAATTATTAATTAATATATAATTCAATTGAGTACCTAATTAATATACATAATAAATTACAACATATAAATTATTTTTTCTTACATTGTTGAGATCATCTTGGTTAAGTTCGTTTACTGGCTGGACAGACTTATATTGAAATGCAGTACAAGTCAAATCCATCTCAATAGGAAAGAGCGGTGGTTCACTAACGTTGTTACCTCCAAGCATCATCCAGCTTATTTCTCGATTGTAACTAGCCATTTGTGAAGCGATTGCATGCAATTGACCTACAACATCATGTACATGTTTATTTTCTAATAGTTCAATTTTGGCCAAAACATCTTCTCTAAGTGCAGCAAATCGTTTTCTTGCTAACTGTCGGCATCTCAATACAAGTCTATACAACAAAAAAAAAGATGATTATAGATTTAACAAAAATATTTTTTAGATCAATATGTTTCAGTCTCTATCTACTAGTACACTCAAACTGATATTTTTTTGTTATATCGGTTTACCTGTATTCATAATTTCCTGTTTCAATACGATATAAAGGTTCGTCTGCAGAACAATAAGTTATCTCTTCGTCATCTAACTCTTTGACTTTTAAACAGTAAGATAAATATTCAAATTTCACATCGGCGTACTTGCGTATTGTTTGCTTGGTGTCTGGGATAGCTTTATTCAGGTATGTACCAAATGACCTAGATATCTATTCCAGAACTATAAATTATATTTAAACTAACAACGTATTAATTTTTTATATTTACGGGTTTTAGAGCTTTGATTAGCATAAGGCCTTGACGCTCCATTCGTCTGTGGTATTCAGCAAAGCGCACTAAAGCTTCACTAGCTCTAGGTTGTGGTTCTCTAGCACCTATTTCGGCAAATGTGTCCCCAAACTCTGCAATAAATATATACAGATGAATAGATGATTATTATAGAATATTGATGGTTGGATCACATTTATATGATCTTAAAAATACTGTATCTTGCAAGTACCTTTAAAACATTGGGTCAGGGCATAAAATGCACGAAGCACACGTTCTGTATGATCAACCAAGTGGCGATATGATTGTTCCATGTCATCCAGCTGTTGTAAACGTTTAACTAGACTATCATTTACTAGTATTGCACGAGACATACCCAAAGAATCAGCAGTGGTGGCCGACATACGTTCAACTAGTCTATGTTTAACTTTTTTTAATACAATATCCAAAGTTTTGCCTTGACGAGCATCAGCATGTAATTTGTTGTACTTCAAAATTACTCGTCCCTTACATACAAATAGATAAACATGGATAAGAAACTATAAAAAAAGTTTAGTTTTACAGTTAAAGTAAAACCATTAAACTCACAACACTTGATTGTATCATTTGTGCTACTTGTAATTTTGTATGTCCACGTACACATTCATTATTTATAGCTAGAAGCTCATCACCACTTTCTAATGTACCATCTAATGCAGCCGGTGAATTGTCGGATACCTATATCATTCACATAAGTACATTGGATTTATGACTAAAATTCAATACTTGAGTTGAGAAATCAATATTTTCTAGAAGTGAAGTAAAGAAACTCATACCTGGATAACATAAATACAAGGGCAGTGAGGCGGTCCTCCACCAATTGTTATTCCTATAAGGTTGGTTGTCGTGTCCTTATTAATTGTGACAACCCCAGAGGTTACTTTCATACCCCTAAACAAGTTAAATAAATTAGGGTAAAAATACCATGATTAATTAAATATTTAACCTTACATTTTATCTTCATCAAAACACAGATCACCATATTCATAGTCGTACATTGTAAGTAAGAAAATTCTCAATACGCCCAAGAATAGTTTTTTTTCTTTACAATGTTGTAAGTATATATTTTGTTATATTCTGAAATTGAACATACATTATGCAGGCATGTAATAAATAATAATATACGAATAACAATAATAATTAAGACATATTTAGAGTTAATAAACTGTGAATTGATACTAACAGCTGGAGATAGGAAGTCATTAAAGTTAAAACCTTCAACAATATATCATACAAATTTATACAAGAATATTATAATATATTGAAGTATAAAATATTTATTAGCCATAATATTGTGAACCTTCTAATCTGGCTAAATAAAGAATCTATAAGATAATTCTGATTAGATTGCAAACAAATAATAATACTAATTATCCAACAATATACACTAAAAATCCAGACAAAAACAGTAATTCAATCACTGTAGTCAATTTTCCAAGCGGACACAGACACAAACAGTGTCAATATTTAATATTTTAATGTTAACTAATAATATGTAATAACTTATTAGTTTTCTCTAGACATAGTCACTGAGTAGTGAGTGTCGTAACTCACTAATTTCTAACAATTGTCAAGTACTGAGTACTGACCAGACAACCACGACTGACCAGTGAACGAGTGAACACTGAACACCGAATACTTATTAAATTTGACAGATTACTGATTAGTATAAGAGTGAATAGCATTTAGCATGCACTAACTACTAGATGTCTATTTTTATAGATAGTATTTTATTCCGTGATAGTACGGACCACGATATAGAGAACATACGGACATGACAACAAGGCAGGCGGTCCACATATATATAAAAATACATACACGTATTTTTATAATATATCTGTGCTCCTTTGACCGTATCTATTTATTCTAAAACGTATACTATATAATATAATATCTATTATAGTATATGTTCGTGCTATATATAATATATACACAGATATATTTTTATATATATCTGTGAATATAAATCACGGACTAAGATATACAGGACTGGACACGACAAGGTTGGAGGGTGTGGGGGGGTTGACTACGAAATGTTTTACAACAGGCAGTGTTCGGGGGGATATTTTCCTTTTAGCATTACTAGCGCCATCCTAGTGGATACTTATGGAACTAGAACACATCATACAAATGTCTAGTTCCATAAGTATCCACTAAGACGGCGCTAGTAATGCTAAAAGGAAAATATCCCCCCGAACTCCGCCTGTTGTAAAACATTTCGTAACCACAATATTCATCTCGTGTCCAGTCCTGTATATCTTAGTCCGTGATATAAATGATTTAATCTGTGGTCGTACCCATAGTTAATATTATCTATGGTCGTACTGGTCGTACCCCTGCTATAGATAATAAGTGATAATAGATATTTGTCCGTGGTTCATGGTTAGCTGCAGGAGACCATATACCGAGCTTATCAGTTATCTGTGGTATAAACTATAATATAAACAAAATTATTTTGTATTTAAAATGCTCTGAAATGCAATAAATCTTTATTTTCGTCATTTCGTATTCGTATAATTTTTCTGATTTTTTTTATTGAATTTGTTAATCTTCTAAAACGGCGCGAACGATAACGGTACCTACTGCAGATTTGATCACCATGCCCCGGCTCAAGAAGAGATCATTAGAAACCAAAGCTAGGATATCGCGAATGAAACGAGCCGAGAAGCGAAGAGAACAAATTTTGATTTTAAAAACGCAAGCCGAAGAAATGGAAATTTTATGGTATGAACCATCATATTAACATTTATTATTTGTTTAGTTATCTTTAAAATGTAAGCATTTCAATCCACTAAAGTGCTTACAATCCAAGAATGTATTTGAATACGTAATTAGTTGACTTAATACTGGAATTATTAAATATATTTATATCCGAGTAAAATTTGAATTTAGTATAAATAAGACCTAGTATTTAGTTCAATCTTACTCATTGATAAGTTATTAATTTTTAGGTGTAATTGTGACTGGCTGGTGGCTACTCGCTGGCTAACGACTACCTTAAATATAGCTAGCAATTACGCCAATACGTTATTGATTAAAACTGATTTTAAAAATGTTAAAACTATAACCAAAAAACAGTTTTTACATCCCATTTGTTTATAATAATATATAATATAGTGTAATATACTAATATGATTACCATATATAGTTACTTAAATAATCATAAATATCAATTGTCCAACAAATCAATCACTTAACAAGTTGAAATATCCTGTGTTTATAAAATATATTTTTTAATGTTGTGCCTAACATATTAATTATGTATTTAGTCGTGGCATAAGAACTGAAGGAGCTCTTGTACCACCAATCAGACAAACCGCGTCAATATTTAAACAGCCTGTTACTGTTCATAAGAACCAGGAAGGTAAAGTTAAAGCAGACTTCAAACACGGACGACAAGAAAAGCCTAGACAAGTAAATCAGTTTATTTATCCATTTGTGAATCTTTCATAATATAATATGATCTATCTGTTGTAGGTATTTTGGGAGAAAAGACTTGAAGGTATTCGAGCATCAGAAAAAGATGGTTATGAATTAGGTACCAGATGGACTGGTCTATTACGACCAGCTGGTCCTCATGTTAGTGATGATACTCTATTGCAGAGTGTAGCTACTGCTTTACATGTATGCGCTATGCCAGTGACTGGGCAACCTCCGATGCGATCTCATTATGATAAAGAAATTGTATATCGGATTCCAGATCAACCACTTGTCCAGGTATGGTATTATATTAAAATAACAATCAGTTTAAATATTTTGTTACAAAAATCAATATAATATATCTGTATTTGTATATTAATAAAAACGTTATTACCTTTTTTAGGAGGTGAGTGTAACCGTTGAAGACATCAAAAGTCAAGAAGAACGTGTTATAGCAGCCAGAAAACGACTTCAAGAAGTTATGGTAAAAATCAAATAACGTTTTTGTACTTGTTGAAAATAACATATTAGTACTTTTTTTCTCACTTTTTTAATTTTTATTTTTTATGACTTAATTAATATTAATAACAACATGCAAATATATTGATATTTTTTTCTTTGATTTCTTCATATTGTTTGTGTCTTATTTAAAACTTTTTGGCCTGTAACTACTCAACTTAATAATTTATAACATGACTTAAGAATGTTAATTGTTGGAATATAATAAGTACTCAAAATATTCTTACAGTCTTCCACATGTGCATACGTACAAAATAGTAACTACTTTTAGTTACAATCTTTACAATGTAAAAATAAAAAGAACTTAAATTAATAACTGATAGTGGATAACGACTCGAATATTTCTATTTAATGACATTTCTTATTATTTTTTTTTCACCCATAAAATTAAACTTAAAGTTAAAACACATACGATCAATTGAATACTGCATAAGTATTATGTACCTACAAGTGACAAACTACCTATTTAAATGTAACAGAATTGTAATACAGAGGGGCACAGTGTCGTAAAAACCACACGTGAAACTTGAGGTTCTGAACAATTTTATGTTATTAATTAATTTAAAAAAATGATTGATATAAAATTTACATAAATAATGTGTACTCTTAACATTTTTTTTAAAATAACAATATTCCAAAAATGAATCCTAAACATTAGCAGCTTGTATTATATTTAATCTTTCTGTTATTGTAATAATGACAGAGAAATATATTTAAACTTTAAAGTCATAAGTTGCTGAATCATAATGATTGATGGTTTTTGTTCCAAAACCTTCACCATCGGAAAAAGTCAAACCCTTTAAATTACCAGATTTTGATAATTGTAATTGTATTTCAGAGAGAGACGTAAACTTCTTACAAGGCACATTGGACTTCAATTTTCAAATTTTAAACTTTATAAGCTATGATTAACTTCTGATTGTTTCCAAATTAAAGTATTTTAAAAAGTATGTTTTTAGCTTTCTTATATAATATATATAATAAAATCTGAATCCAATGTGAACTTTAAAAATTCTTCTGTTTTCAAATATATCTAAAACAAACTTATGTTTAGTATCGACTTCCGTCCATAGCTTAATCACATAGAACAAGAACAAAGTTGTAAAATAAATACTAAATTACACAAGTAATTGAAGTAATTATTCAAGACTGTTAATCCTAAAGGTAGGAAAATGTATTTGTTTTGAAAGTATTATAATTTATAACTTACACCATTTTTATTGAATTCAATTTATTAAAACCATTTCAAGTTGTAAAGAAAAAGTATTATTGTCTAACTACATACATTACTACTTAGTACTAACCTAACTACAGAAATATTATTAATTTTGGAAAATTTTTGTGGAAGAATTCATTTTTATTATAAGTTCATATTGAATTGATTTGGGAACTAAGAAAGCAGCTTATTGTTAATTTTCAAATACCAGATTTTATATTTATAGGTATGTAAAAATTAGATAATCTATTTTTTTTTATTGTGGATAGCCCCTAAGAGGACACCCATCATCATTGTCTTACAAAAGTACAAAAACATTTCAAATTTGCATTCAGCAGGACTAATATTGTGTTGTTGTTAAGTAAAGTGAATTGAGTATTGACCATTTATATATACTATCAAACTCAAAGTTAAGAATATAACCTATGTTTTTACATTGATTTTTTATATAATTTTAATTTTTTAAAACATTTTTAAATACCTACTGTAATATTATATTATTACACCTATACCAATAAATATATTAGGAAACTCATAATTATTTGAAAACTAGCTGATCCCGTGCACTTCGTCGCCCGTTAAATGGATCAACCCAATACTACCTACTCAAACTTTGTTCAATTCATTAACGTGTATGGTGTTCAAAATTTATCTTATCTTTCCCGTTGCCCTGAATAAAAATTCTGAATCGCAGCAGTACATTATCAGGTTGAGGTAGGCAATCTACCTGCGGTAGATCGCGGACCCCGTGCTGTTTGTACGGAAGTGTATGATTTAACTCTAAAGTATCAAAGTTATACCAAGTTTATTTTGATGTAATACTGTGGATTAATATAATAAATTTGGTTGCTCGTAAAAAATCGCAACTCTTAAAAAAATTATGATTGTTGAACTCCTTTTGGGTGTAATTTTCTGCGGTAAGTGCAACTCTGCCACCCTGGTAAGCATTGTTCAATAATTCGATTTGATGCAAGCTTGTACCTGATCTGCCCGAATAACCAATGGCAACCAATAAATAAATGCTAATTTCTAATGTAGACTGTAACCAATGGCAACTATAAATAAATAAAAATAAAATTTCCAATTTCTATCGTGAATCTCAATGTCCCTGTTTCAGCACCTATTTAAAATGCGAATTTTGGCAAATCCTTTCTTAGCGCACGTCTATATTATAATAGCTATCTGTATGCCAAATTTCAGCCAGATCCGTCCAATGGTTTGAGCTGTGCGTTGATAGCAGTCAATCAGCTTACTGTTTTTTATATACAGATATGGTTGCCATGGTAATATGGACACACACACACACACACACACTGACATACATTCATTTTTATATATTATATAGATTGATATGAAATCTTGGTAACCTTAGTAACCATGGCAACCTTGGTAACCATGGTAACATGGACACACAGACACACAGACACACTGACACACTGACATACATTCATTTTTATATATATAGATTGAAATGTCACATTGGTACTATTCTACTAACATGGTTATTATTTTTTATTTTCTGTTGGTTAGTCACCCTAATATTGAAGTTAAAAATACAAATTGGAAATTTTCCATGTTGTACTACTTGCACGCGTTAATAAGACTGTGGCCATTGGCACAACTTGGGAACTTGTGCACCCCTAAAAAGTAAAAATACGTTCGGAATCAGTGGTTCGCACCCTCATGCACATGTCACATAATAAAATATTTGTTCCAACGAGGAACTAATTTCAATCAATTGAGACCTAAAAGCCTGACAAAAATACGATAACTTAGAATGATCGGATTTTAGTTCTGTAAACATATTTGAATTCATCGTTCTTTTTTCTAGGTTATTGTGGGAGTCGATTTTTGAATAACTGTTTAACTTTTTAAAGAAAGACACAAACAATTTTCAAAAAATTGAGAAATCGAAATATGATTTAACGTGAATTCTAAAAAAAATATCGAAAATTGATTCCCACAATAACCTAGGAAAATTGTCAATGAACTCGAATCTTTTTACAGAATTGAAATCTGATAATTCTAAGTAGGCTTATTTTTGTCAGAATTTTAGGTCTAAATCATGAAATAAATACGCTGCATCGAATCCCCTTAAGTGATACATTAAAATGTTCAAACTGTGTAGGTGGTATGCGGATATAAAAAGATTGAGAACCACTGGTAATTCAGTGGCGCAAGCAGAATTTTTTTAATGGTGGGAAGTGTCCTTAATTGTTAAAACATAGACATTTTAACTAAAGAAAAAACTCTATTATATAGCCCATTATAGGTTGACTCGAGAGGGGTTGGGACTCTGGATCCGGAGACCCCCCTACCTACCTTGTTCCGCCACTGACTGGTATAGTGAATATTATTAAGGAATGAGGAATATAATATTATAATAGCCAATAGGTAAGTACCTAGGTACTTTGCTCATTGCTGTTATGTTTCCATTTATAAGTTATAACATAATTGTATTATAAAATAATCTTTAACTTATATTTTAATATTGTGTAAAACATGTCACATGAATATACATAGTTATTACTTATTTGTGTAACAATAATCATAATAATAATATTATATTATAAATTAACGAAATAACTTTGAATGGTTATGACATTTTTCTTTATATATGGCAGGATGCAAGACGGCCTAAGAATGTGAGCTTGTTTATATTGTTCCCTTGTTTATAGTTTGCTATAACTTATAAAGTAGGTAAATAAACAGTTAAATTGTGGTCAAACTTTTTTTTATAAAAATTAAATATCCACAATTTTTATTTTACTAACAATATTCCATAATAATTAATAATATTAAACAAGTAAGAAATTAAAGCTGTTCTACTTCTAGTTCAAATCATCCAAAGTTATAAAGTCGTCAACTGAATAAAAATAATTGTAATAGCATTATTGATTTGGGTTATTCAGAGAGGAAAAATGGACCACGTCGACCTGAAATCTGAATTAGCAGTGATTAGAAATTTAAATATATATTTATTTACTTGTCAAAAAAATCATAGTAAAATATTTATGTTCTTATAAGATTAGGTAGGTATACCTAATCCCTGTCACTGTTTTACTCATATTAAAATATTGTACATGGTAGGTAGGTACAACTATTAATTATAAAAATACTAATATTTATAACCAATGGTACTACATAAATATACATTTAAAATCATTGTTAATATATTATACACAGTGTTAACTGTTAAGGGTCTGGTAATTATTCACAATTTATGCACCTATTAAAATATTGTTCTATAAGTGCCTACAGTAGCAACACATGCGGGTGTGGCATCCTCCTTATAACTTTTTGTCCTAACTCCTATGACAAGCAAATTTCTAACTACGCCATTGATGAAGCTTTGACACAAGTACATGACTGATTTTGTTGTACATTTGCGATATACCCACTGTCGAGCTGATCCAACCACCCGGCAATAGCGATTTTAAATATTGGGGAATGGGGGCCCTTAGTCAAATTGGAAAATATATAGTTAAATTGTGTGGGATATTTAAAATTCTTTTTGACTATCAAAATCTGCCATCTGGTTTATGTTGTGTACAACATTCAAATATGTTCTTAAAAACTTTGTTCACACAAGTTAATATATGAACAAGTATTTTAAAAACCTAACATTTTAAAACTAAATTTTGACCTCTGATAGGCAACAATATCTGTATCATGTATTTTGTCTGTTTGTCAAAGAAGATATCATTGAACTTATAAACAAAGATAAAAATATTAATAATATATGTTAGGATCTTCCAGCAATA